TTTCATCTTTTAAAGTAGGTAATATGTTTGGTGTGAAAGACCCGATCCCTCGTGTGTGGTTCAAAAGTTTTTATGTGTGGGCTGTAATGCTTGCTTTGTCGGTGAAACCTCTCGGCATTTATCCACACGTGTGCGTGCGCACTCGATCAGTGATAGGTCCTCTCACAGTTTCGGACATTTACCAAATTCTCAACAATGATTAGTGTTTTAGCACCTTAGATCGTATTTATTTCCGCACTCCACGAGGCTCCGTTTCCGCACGCATTTTCGAATTCTCCACCAAATCCGATTCTGGAATCAGGGAAGTTGCAATCTCCTTCTTGATCAGCGATGATTCCGATTCGAACTCCCGAGGTATTTGTCTGAGGGAAAAACCTATTGAAAATTTTACACGGATGTGTTTTTTTTCCTTTTTTTCAGGCGCAATCCTGTAGCAGCGTCGAGAAAGTTGATACATGATTTTTTTCCTTTGTTTCTGCGCTTCTTGACTTGCATAAATCGTTTTTTTCTTTGATTTATTGTCTTGCAAAAAAATTTCTGTGTATTTGCCACCCTCTCTCGGCCCACAAATTTAGCGATTGTTCTTTACAGGAACGTGACCGCTGCCCTGAAGAGATCATGAGAACAACTTATTGTGACGTTAATCGCTAGAGGTAGATTCAGCCTTCACATTACGTTTCCTGGTTATTGTTTATATGTGGTTTCCTTATCGCTCTGACGAAGGGCTAACGCTCGAAACACCAGCTTTTAAACTCTATACAGTGGGCAATTTACGTTATCAACTTAGTTGACAATACTAAATTACCCCATTATACTCCGGCTCACGATGCAGCATCACAGTTTCACCACCGTTTTGTCCTGTGGCTTACAATAACGGAGGCTATGGAAAATAAATTAAGAGTAAAAGTCTGTGAAAATAATTTCGAATGATCTTCCGATGACTCGTTCATCATTTTCAAATTCTAGAATTCCGACTTCTGTGAGTTGTGATATACTAAGAATGCGTGTGAAATGTCGTGGGAAATTTGAATTATGAACTTTCGAAATGGCCCAATGATAAATTTTAATGTAACCGAAATTCAAAACCGTGAGACAAATGTAAAGCAGCTAAGGGAATGCTGAAACAAATGAAACGATTATTTTAAAACCTTACCCAGTGTTCAGCAGGATGACTTCCTCAAGATATGACTACTTTTCCATCATTTTTGTGAAAATTTTCTTTCTCTGGCTTACCTGCAGCAGCGCCAATGGCGAGATAAACCACAAAGATGAGTGCGCAAAGATTCATGGCTGTCTTTTTACTGTCTTGAGTACCTCCTGATTTCAGTGAGACTCGATAATATCTGAAGAAGGTACGGTATACCACAATTTAACAACCAACAAAACGTTAAATTGACATTCGCTACAACTTCTCCTTACCTAAGCGCATTCTTTAGCCTTATGCTTTGTTGAGAGAATTTTTACCTTCGTCATACCTATCTTAAAAGGATGTTTGTAGCACTTTTCTGCAACCATCTGACCGATAAAAATTCTACTTAATAGTGATATTCGTGCTTAAAACTTATAATAAAACTGTCCTCCTTACAGTTCAATTCCCTCCTTGTTCCCGTTTTGAGTCAATACCCTTTCAACCACTCTTAGAAGAGAATCTCTAAGTAACAACAGAAAAAAGTTTCAAAGAACAGAAATATACAAAGGGGAATTTTTTTTTCTCAAAACTTTTCCATTGATTTATATTTGGCCGAACACTGCGTTGATCAGACGAGCAGGTCACATACAGGGAATTTTTTGGAGCGAAGTAAAGTTTATTGATCGTGACCCTTATTAGTACACGCGCAGAGTCAAAAAGGCAATTCATAGAAGACTTCACCCTAACAACATCAACAGGGATAGCGGAATATAAATTCCAGAAGCGTGGATGCCCACGATTAAAAAACACAAGAACAGAAAAGCCGTGCGACAGCGGACCGGCGAGGGAGCAAATCACTGAGTGAAACAGCAAGGATCAAAATGCACCAATCAGAGCTGTCGAAAAACAGCTAATCACAGTAGAGCATCATGCTTTATAACATCACGCATGACCAGTCGACCTCATCGCCTGAAAAGACTAGCAGTACGCAGTCGAATCGTCGCGATCTACATCACAAGTGACTTCATCGTGAGACAAACGAAAAAAAAAAAAAGCTTTTATTGTTATTCACTACGATGAGTAACCACAGCCTTTTTTACGAGGGATTGTTCTGATAGCGACTTTTCAAAAAAGGACTTTTTCTGCAAAAACCCCGTGAAAGTTTCCATAACTCGGGCATTCAACTTTCAACTTGCACGTAATTTTTTATCGCGCCATCAACATTTCTCCTTTCTAGCTATCTGCTTTGTAACTTCTATCTCAGTAGTTTACATACTAAAGAGCTAAGCCGTAATTTTCCAAACGCTAGCTCTTAGCTCTAAGAAGTGGAAATCTAGCATCTTATTTTGACTTGCTCAAAGTAACATTTCGGCCACCGAACTTTTAACAATTGGTTCATAAGTCAGCGTGCGTTCATCGAGTTATGAAGCACGCGGGAAGTTTGGAGAGCACGAAAGATGCGTAAGAGTTTTCTCGAGGGATTTGTTTGCTGAAGTCATGAGCGTGCACAATAGGAATATGAAGCACGCTCGCTCAATTGAATTTGATTAGACAGATTTACTGGCCATGTTATAATGAAGAAATGTAAACTGGTTTCCTTGTTTACATAGCTTGATGTAAACACGCGAGAGGTTGGGAGAACACGAGATAAGCGTAGGAAACCACGACGCGAAGCGGAGTGGTTTCCAGCTTATCGAGTGTTCTCCCAACCTCCCAAGTGTTTACATCAGGCTATGTAAACACGGAAACCATTTTACATTTCTTTTCTAAAATAACTAACAAAGGGGAACGAAAACCGTGTTTACATACGCTCATGTAAAATGGTTTTATGGCCAATCAGAGCGCGCGTACTATTTTAATTATTTTATAATTAATATTGCCTCATGTAACGTTATTACAAAAAAAAAAAAGACATCCCCTACCTAGTGAAGTTATCTTGTTCAGTTTTAGAAGTGGTCTGCCTCAAAATACGAAAGTCTTAATACTTAATACATCTTATATACACTTTAGATCAAGTAAAATGCTGTGCGCACACTCGCCTAATATTCAGCGCCTGATATATCACTTTTCCAAGCGTAAGTTAAAACATGACTCATTTGACATGAACAATGGAAAAAGTTGTCATAATGGCCAATTTTAAATTTCAAATAAACAGTAATAATCCCCTTTATCATCACTTTGTTTTTGACAGTCGATCATTGAAACAATACCAACAAACTAAGTTTACCTTTTCTCACATCTTTTGTTTAACAATTGCACGCCTCCCTTTCGTAATCGTAACTCTTCTTAACAAAGCAGACAGAATTTTTAAAATTCATTTCCAAAAAGTTACATAAAAGTCCCCCGCCCCCCAACAATGTTGAAATACAATTTTGATCATTATGCTAACCCCAGGAATGTTGTCACTCATTGTCATCCCAGAAGTGATTATCACATGACAATCTAATGACTAATTTCCTCGGGAAACTCCCTCATATATTACATCATCAACTTCCTGTTTTTGTGTCACCCAATGGAAAAATGCCGTCAGATCATATTGCTATTCTCCTATGGTATTCCAACGCTTTGTGATTAAAAAAGGACTCCTTAAAATGATGCCATTAAATGATTTTATCAGATAATTTTATCAAATGATTTCATCAAATGATCTCATCAAATAATTCCATCATATAGAATGTAGTGTAGAGGGTTGGCATTTTGTACAAGATCACTTTTTCAAAGTGCTTTGGTACCTCAAACTACTTTACTATATAAACACAAGTAAAGAGAAATTGAAGTAGATGTCAAGGCTATTCATGTGTTTATAAGTTGGCGTTTGTTATAACTTCTTCACTTATCGTCGAGTCTGGCTGAAGTCAAGTGGTATTCAAAACGGTGTGAGAAGACGAAAGCGATGAAATTTTGTGCGCTCATCTTTCTGGTTTATCTCGCAATTGGTGCTGTTGCTGGCAAGGAAAACAAACTTTGCCGCCGGATATTGGACAAGTTGTCAGATCTTGAGGACCTGATTAAGAAGAAACAGGCCTGCTGTCCGCCAGGTAAGATGTAGAAGATCTTTTTTGTCGTTTTAACGTTACTTTTACATCACCGCTTTTTTGGTCCGTCGGTTCTGAATTTCGGCTGGATTAAAAGTTATTGTTAACATAGTTTGGAATTTTGGTAATTACCCAGTTATGATCGATTGCCTGAAAGTTTTTCTCATCTCCTCAGAGCCAACACCCGCAAGTTCCTGCAAAGAAATTTATGAAAAAGACAGGTAAGGAACGTACGATCGTTAAATTTGTGACTGAACGAGGGTGGGTGGCAAACAAACATATCGTGAAAATCCTTCTGCAAAAAATTGCGCACTGTAGGAAAAAAAGCTAAAAGCGCAAAAAAAGAAAAAAATATAAAAATAATTTATGCCAGTTGAGAATTCCACATCTCTTCCCCTTTACATGTAAGGATCAGTGTGAGTGATTTAAGAGAGTGTAAACTCGGCTGGATTTGTAAGGTTTCTTCTCTAATATCGTGATGGTGCGGATCTGGGCTCCTGTTTGGCTACACATCAAGAGTACAGTTTAAACACCTAAATAGCCTTGTAACAAGCCTTCACCCGTTGGAAATTGTGACATGTCTCCGTCCTGTTAACCCTGATTTTGTTTATCTCAGTATTATTCTCGCTGACCGTAATAGCGCTGAGCCAAGACTTCCCCGCGTATTCTTTGCGATGTCACGCAGTGCTGCTTCTTTTTTGCGTTGCGTGACATTCCAAAGAACTACCACGTAGGATTCAAAGAATATAACACTCTGATGCTCTCTCATTAGTGCCAGCCCGAACAAGGCGTATAACCTCAAGCTTGGGAACAAATATCTGTCTGTGTATTGTTCCATGGATGGGGAACTCGGAGACTGCGGTGGTGGTGGATGGACGCTGGTCATGAAGATTGACGGTGCAAAGGTACAGTGGAACCCCTCTAACTGGAAACCCTTGGGACCGTAGTTTTTCAAGAATGTCGAATGAAAACTTTGACTCCTTTCTTTCACTCCTGTTTGCTTCCCTTTGTCTCTTTTAAGTCAGTGAATGTTCTATAGATCATATTAAGGGGCCACGCTAAACCAGCATGCAATACGGACGTAGTGGACACTCTCAGTATTTTCTGGCGCGAGTTTGATGAAGCACTCATAGAGCGAAGTGAAGCAAAACTGGTGTAATCCCGGATTACTTTAGACACTAACTTAAAAATTGCCTCATCTTGCAGCACAACTTCAACTACGATTCAAAAGCGTGGTCTTCCAGGTCTTCAGTGTCTCCCGAAAATGGAGACACGGGGTTGGCTCACTTTGAGACCCTGTTACCAACGTACTGGAGCACGTCCTTTACCAAGATCTGTCTCGGCATGAAGGTCGATGGAGCAACCAGGTTCTTGCGAGTGAATAGGGCAGCAGCCTCACTGTATGCCCTCATTGCTGATGGTCAGTACCGTGCAACCTCCCTGGGTCGTGATGCATGGAAGGGACTGGTTGGTCCCAAAGCCTCCCTCCAGGGCAACTGTAATCGAGAAGAGT